GGAAAGAGTCAGGGCCACATCTTCCATTTTCAGTGGTCCCTAAAACAATAGGGGCCAAAGATTCATGCTTGAATAGAGACTTCATCAGCTGGAACTGGCTGCTTTGTGAACCCCAGGATGGTGTCAACAGTGCCATCTTGCAGCAGAGCAATTCTTGCCCCTGGCTACCACCTGGGACCTAGAAGTTATTCATTTATTTTCATTTTCATTTATTTATCAAACACTTCTATAGCACTTTCTATGTGCCTGGCACTGTTTCCAAGAGCACTAAAACAATTAACTCATTTAATATAGACAACAACCACCTTAAGGTTGGGACTATTATTAACCCATTTCACTGATGGGGAAACTGAGGGACAGAGTTTAGGAAGTTTGCCCAAGGTCACCCAGCTAATAAGCGGCAATGCTTAGGATGGGAGCTCAGGGAGAGTGAGTCCAGAGCCCATGCTCTTAACCATTACTCTGTGCTCCCTCATTACATATATGTGTGCTTTTATGAAAACTCTTTGAGAATTGGTGCTAAGTTCTTAGAATACTAATATCTTTTCTTACTGAAAACAATGAGGATAATATTTTCTAGCTTACAGGATTTGGGGGACCAGCAAATAAGTTCACATTATGTGAAATTACCTAACACAGGACCTGCACATGTGTCCCTGTTAAATGCAGGCTTCTATCCAGACATTTATAGTTAAATTACAGTTTTCAAGTTTTACTTTCTCATGTGCAACTCAGAATTCCCCACATCCTCTGTAAGGAATGAAGAGCCTGAAGCTAAGAGACCTGAAATCACTTTTCAGTGTTACAGGGTGCAATAGATCCCAATGAAGAACCTTGGTCTTTTGGTCACTGGTTAGAAGGCTCTGGCTACACATCCTCTGAAGGAACACTCACAAGGACACAAAATAATGCAAAGAGGAAACAATCTCATAATACAGGCAAGAAGATGCCAGTAAAATCTACCCATTTTCTGTGATCCATGGGCTCCTTTCCAAGTTGTCCATGAGCCTGGATGGAAAAAACTATTTTAATTTTTACTAGCCTCCAGGAGAAGTTTAGCATTTCCTTCCACTATAAACGGGAGCAAAAACCACAATATGGAATAAGCATATCCCGGACTTTGTCAGCAATAGAAGCTGCAGATGTTTTCACATCACATTACATTACCACCAGGCAAATATTGTCAGAGTCATTCGTGCTTAGAGCAACTTTGAAATTGCCAGTTATTAGGCCTGTCCTTAGGTCTTATTACTTAGTGCACCAATAAAAAAGCATATATAACTTTACCACAAATTTGTTTAATGTGATTCCTGGTGATATCATTAGCCCCATTTTACAAAGCAGTAAAATGAGGCACAGAGAAGTTAAGATGTTGGCCAAAAGTCACACAGCAAATAAGTGGCAGGAATAAGGCAGGAGTTGAACGAGGCAGTCTGACTCCAAAATCCAGGCTCTTGTCCAGTACCACAGAGTAATTTAAAGACCCTGGTACTGACCTGGTCTCCAGGTGGAGGAAAAATGTAACGACTCCCATTTTCAAGGCTCGTCTGTGAAAGCAACCCAAGAATCCTGTCTTCAGATGCCCTGAGGCACGGACCCAAGCTCCTAGAAACAGCCCTAGACAAGAGATACGGGAGTGGGACCTAGGTGGGGAGCCCTACACCACAGCAGAGCACCCTTCGGTCGGTTCCACACAGCCTCTCCCAGGGTCTCTTCCAGGGACTGTAAGGGACTGGTGAGGGAGGGGCTTCTCTACACACACAGATAACACAGAAGAACGGTGGGTGTGCCAGAGGAGAGCCTGGAAAGGAGACCTAAACCTGCACTGGGATGTGGGTGCCCAGCGGGCATCCCCCGCTCACCCCACACTCACCATGTGTCCAAACTAGCAAACCACTGCAGGGCGGGCAAGAGGCCGCTTCCAGGCCTCTGTAGCTACCTCCACCTCCCAGACAGACACTCAGTCTTTTACTAGCTCCCTGCCCCGTCAGCTCCCCTCCCCTCTGGCTACTGAAGAGGCTTTTAGTAAATGACTTTTTCAGTTGTAACAAAGGGAGGAAAGAAAGGTGCAGGTCTCTGTCTATAGTTTGCTACATTTGTGAATTGAAGTGTGAAATAAAATTTATACTTTATGGCAAGACAAGAAAAATTTTAACATAAAAAATTTTCTTTGCCCTTTGGCCTCCTCTCTCCCCTCCACTGTGCATTGTGTACCCGCATGATGCATCGACCAAAGCTGCTCAACCATATAGAGCAACGTTCTCCCACCACCAAGACAACTCCTTAAAAGATAGCATTCCTTCTTAATCTTGTGTGGGACTGCAATGACTCATGACCCACTACTGGCTAGATTGTATAAACTGTCAATAATATGTCATTTAATGTACAGCCCTCTGTCTCAAAAACTTACACGACTGCTTTGACCTATAATGGGAGAACAGTTCTTGGAGCTTTCTGAGAGGCTGTTCCCAGGTTATAATTCTCAGTTTGGCTCGAATAAAATTTCCCATTTCTTTCTTAGATCATCTGATTAATTTTTCATCGATTGTATAGTCAGAAAGAAACTCTGGAAAAACACATAAGAAAATTAATAATAGTGGTTGCCTGTAAGAGGTGAATGGTGTCAACTAAAAACTGGCACTAGCCATCTACCTCTACAAGGATTAAATTATGACCTTCAACACCCCCTGAAAGGAGTTCAGGGTAGAGATCAGGAATGAGGCACTCTGTACTCTGGGGAAAACTGGCAGAACAAGTCTTCAGACAGTTAAATATTTTCAGGAGAAGATTTTACGAACCCAATTTTTGCATCTCCTCATATCTAGAAAAGCACTAAAATCCTTCATGGTGACGTCTGCTCCTCATGACTAGTAGCAACCTTCTACAAAAAGTATGTGTTTGATTGCATGTACTCCCCCTTCACCAAAATCACATATATATTGACCTTCCCCCCTACCTCTTTGGAGCAGTTTCTCAGAGCTATCTGAAATGCTGTCTCCCGGCCATTTTGCCCCAAATAAAACTTAACTCTTGACTCTCATGTTGTGCATTTTTTTTCCAGTCAACGATGGTTAGAAACTCAGTGAAAAGGAGGACAAGGGTGAGAAGAAGAGTGTTACTCTAAGTGTTTTAAATATATTGTAAATTTTAGAGCTGATTGTATTACCTAATTAAAACATTAATTATAAATATTGTTTAATGAGAGAAAAACACATAATGTAAAAGGTGTGAGTTAAGTTTTATTTAGGGACCTGAGGACTAGGGCCTGGGGAACCAGCCTCTCAGTAGTAGAGAGGGTAGAGGAGGGGCCAGTATATATGATTTTTTTCCCCCTGGGAAATACAAGTAGTCAACATACATTTTGGTAAAAGATCACTGCTAATCACGAAGAATAAGTGTCTCACTTAAGTTAATGATTAATGATTAAGTTAATAACTAATGATTAAGTTAATGATTAAAATAAGTTAATGATTTTAGTGCTTTTCTATGCACAGGAAGATGCAAGAATCTGGGGGGTCATTGAAATTCTTCCTTAGATTTGCATCTTAACTATCTAAGGGCTCCTTTATCCAAAGCCCAGAATCTTCATTCTGTGGGCAACTGCAGTGGGTTGTGACTTAACCCTTTGTATAACTGGATGATGAGCAACACTCCTTGTTCTTTTTTACAGTGCATGACTTTTATAAGGAACATGCTGAATTGTTTAAGGAGAAAGTCCAAGATAATTGAACACTCAAATTATGATGATTAATAAAAGAGTTTAGCAAGCTTGTAGAATTTTTAAAAATTCATATTCACAATTGCATTTCCCATCACCAGCACAAGTTTAAAAATGTAATTTTTAAAAGACAGCAATTACAG